CCCGCGGCCCAGCCGCCTTCGGCGCGGGACTGTGCCGAGCCGGGCGGTGGCGGTCCCGCGAAGCTGAGCGCCGGTTCCCTGCCCTTGTGGGACTAGAGGGACTCTCCGGCCTTTGCGTCCTGTTGCTCAGAAGAAACTTCTGCTCCCAGATTTGCGGCAGAATGGCGACGAGGGGCTGCGGTGGCTCTCGGGATCTGAGTTGCCTGAGATGGCCCTGTAGGGGTCTGGGTCCCCCTCTCCTGGCTTTTCCTATCTGTTAAAAATTCACCTTTAGTTTTACACGTGTTGTGGAAATCCTGTCTCTCTGTATGTAACAAAGTATAATGTGCTCTGCCGCTTGTTATTAACTTGTTACTGGTTTTTATCGTCCATTTGCAGAAAGAGCAGTCCTACTCCGAGCAGCACTCCTCCTTGATTAACAAGGCCTACCAAACCCTCCTGAACCCCCTGAGCCGTGGCCTCTATCTGGTAAGGTGTCCGTTATGTGTTCTATCCATACTTCTGTAGCTGATCGTAGGTGCCCGATGCTGCTGGTGGCAGCGTAATGGATCAGACCTTCAACTCCATCACTGACGTGCTGGTTGGTGTTCTGAAGAAGAAGAGGATTACCAGGGCTTGATAAGAGACTGAAAACAGGCTTGTCTGAAAAATAATCAGCTTTTCCACTGTTTTAACATTATACTGATTATTGCCATCTCATTTGCTGCTCATTTTACACTCATTTGTTTCCTGACTCACACATTTGTGTTTGGCTGTGGCTGTTTTTTTGAAGTTTCAGTCTGGCCCCTGTCAGCCTTTGCTGTTGTTATGTGCTTTTTAAGGTATACCTATGGTGTTACTTTCAAGACTGACTCAGTTTATGCACATTTTGTGGAATAAATGGGAAGTTTGTCAGCTTGGAATCTGAGTGGGCCCTACTAAAAGGACTTATTATTGCAGAAAATAATTCACAGTGAAATAGATGTAAGAATGTGTATTTCCAAATTCCCATTTTCTTCATTAGCTGGAGCTGAATGGAGTGGAGCCAGCACAAGAGACAGACTGTGATGAAGATTTGATGTTTCTCACAGAAATCATGGAAATAAATGAGAAACTGGCAGAGCCTAAAAACGAGGCTATCCTTGAAGAAATTGAAACTTTAATTAAAGGTAGGTTATGATTTGAGGGTTTGTACAGAACTAATTTACTGTATTTTCTGTAATATGAGTCTTTCTAAAGATTTTACAGTGTTTCAGTATCTCTTAACTTGCAGTAGTCTTAAATTGACCCACTGCAAGAGTTCACACCCAAAAATTCTCGTTACTAGTCTATGCCACCTAAACACCAAATCTGGCTTGAGAAAAATCAAATGGTACCTCTTCTGCTGGCAAAATCAGTGAGATATATATTGACTATAAAAAAATGAACTTACTCAACCTTCAGCAGATCAGGGCAAGTAGACTGTTCTAAAAGAGAGAACCACTCAAAACAGGTTCATAAAATCCTTGACTGACCACATTGCATAATTTCATTCCTGCAGATGTATTTCTTTTACTTTCAACTTAGCAGTGATTATTATCCTTATACAAGCATCTTTCTTGTTTATATTGTTGGTGATACTCAAAACATTGAGTTTATTGGTATATTTCTCTGCAATAAAAGCAATTATAATAAGTAGAATAGAAGAGAATTAACTGTAGCAGGGTAAACCAGTACACCAAAAGTAAGTGTGATTTCTGGAAAGTTAGTCACCATTGATTTACATTGGAATTGCTGACTGTAAACCTGTTTAAATGAAGAAATATAGCTGTTTGAAATGGTGATTTAATAAAAAATTGACAGCAATACTACAAAAAGCTCTCTTAGCTTCCAAAAGACTATGAGATTGTTTCCCTCCACAGACAGAATGCAGTGGTATTAAATATACCAATAAGTATGTAACAAAACATGAATGAAATTATTTGTTTTACAGTTAAACAAGAAGAACTGATTGAAGAGGTGACTGCAGCTTTTGAAAGAGGTAGCTATTTCTATTCAGTATTTAGCTGCCACACATACCAGTTACAAATGCTTTAAAAATAACACATTCTCTTATTGGCATGTACTTCACGAACTTGGAGAACAGAAATCCTCCATATAAAAAGAGTTCTTTTGTTTGGTACTTAGAATAAATACTTCTAAGCTGACCTTTCTGCTGGTCCAGGAAATTCAGGACCTCACTTTAAATTTAAAAAAAAAATAAAATTACAAAAGTTCCAGTTAATTCCAGTTTGCATCAAAATGATAACTTCAAATGGGAATGCAGATGCTGAGAAATTGTTTCTCGGAATACTGGGTACTGAAATGGGTGCTGTGATTGAAATATTGAGATTCATTTTGAAAATTAAAGTTCAGCCCTCCCTTTGTAAACTAGTAATTTTTTATTTCATTTCAGATGATCTTCAAGAAGCTAAGAAGCTTCTAGCCAAAATGAAATACTTTGCAAACTTAGAGGATAAACTAAAGAACAAGAAGATCCCTTCATGATACTGCCTCCTTTACCATTAAGAGTTAATGTTATTTTCAATTAAACAGCTGATTTAGTTACCAAGATCAGAAAAGAGGTGTTTACTTCCTATGTTTTCATTAAAAGCCTTAATTCTGAGAGAAGGAAGATAAACATAAAATAAATCCAGTGCTTGCTGTAGCATTTACTAAGTAACAGATGGTATCAGGAAATGCTCATAACCAGGACAAGCTGTAATGTGTGAGGTAGGACTACCAACTGTCCTAGCAGTGACAGGTGTGGAAAGGAGTGTCAGAGAGGCACACAAACACAGCAGTTAATGAAGATTCCTTACTTTGTGACTGCTAAAATACAAACAATTTATTTTAAGTTGAGAAAAGAGTCCTGGATGAAATGTTGGTGATTAAGCAGAAAGGTCATTCAATATGTCCTTTCAGCTTGCTGACATCTCCTTGTGTGTGTTCTGTCAGACCATCCCAAAAAAATCTTTGAAGGTGAAAAGTATTGAATTCCTGTCCTGCCCTCTGTGCTCATCAGTGCTTTTTGTGATGCTGATCTCAGTCTGCTGGGAATTTACCTTCAAAACTAGGAGAAGTTTTACCCTGCTGCACAGTTTAAAAAGTTAAGATGCTAGGATAGGGGAAAAAAAAATAAAGCCAAAATCAAACACCAAAAACTCTTTATTAGTACCCTTCTAGGAAACAAGTCTTTCTAATAAACTCTATTACAAGTAACACTAATTCAGATAGGTGCTGTACTGTCTTTGCACAGTTACAGTAGTAGGACTAGATGAGGAATGTCCTTGTATCTTTCGAAGAAGGTATTTAAGTGAAAACCAGCAACTAAATACCCCGTTTTATATATAAACTAGAATATTTCAAATACTGGTTTCTCAGTAGGTCTATTCTTGTTTGGGTTTTAACACCTCAGACTATTTTATTCAGTAAAACACTAACATCTCCTTGATTACCCAAATCTGAAGAAGGCTTAGAAACCAAAGACCTACATCTACCAAATTATCTAAAGAAATCTTCTGGGGGAGCAATTTGCTGAGCACCCTCTCCTTGCATTGCCACATCCCTACAACATCAAGTTGTACCTAAACATCAAGTCTCCTATGTATAGTGTAAGAGTTTGTTAATACTGTTGCAGCACTACATATTTTAACAGCATTTCAGAAGATTAACTTGCCTTTAACTAAACTTCCTCCAAATATACAGAAGGATTTAATAAGCTGCTTGTTCCTGGTATTACACTTGATTTAGAAGACGTTGTCCATTGTTCTCATTGACCTTACAGTACAGAATGTTTTTTAAATTCATCATGGAGTTGTCTTCTTTCATAAAGTTCCGTTTCCTTTTTTTTGGCGTTTCTTCCAAAATTAAGCTTGTGAAATTCCTTTCTGATTTCCAGAAAAGATTTGTTTTTTGTCTCGGGAATCACGAGGAAGATGAAAGCAGCAACTGAGGAGCACTCCAGTAAGAACACCAGAAAACAATACTGCTTCAGTCCCTTCTGAAAAGACATTTTATTTGATCACAGTATATTTCAAATCTAACGGTATGCTTTGGAAACTAAAAGTGTTTTGTTTGCATTCACACCTAGCACTGCCACTCAGGTATCTTTAATAAGATGTTCAACCTACCCCCATGTAACTTTTTTAATTATTTTTTTTTAGATAAAAGACTACTGAGCCCTATGCAATACACTTGATAGTCTTATTTAAGAAAAAAACAGCTCAAACATTTAAAACGCACACTAAACAATTCACCACGTAACGACATGTTACATCTGCTACTTCCCTGTCCCATACTTTAAGCTTGTAGGCCCTACCTTTTCCAAGTGTATTTTTCAATGGTATAAATTAAAAAAACCTCAACTATCTTGAGAAGTGGAGTTAAACCAAGAAGAACAAACTGTCAAATCCAGACACCTTTTTGTATGCAGTTCCTGTGTGTTCTGTTCTCAAGAGTAAGTGCTGATGCCAAAAACACAAAGCTAGAAAGGAAAGCTTGTATTGTTTTTCTAATCATCGCCCTAATCACAGAACCCTTAGCAAGCTCTCAGAGAAGGTGGGAACCACTGGCCCCAGGTTTACTTGCCATAAAAGCACAAGGCACTATTAAGAAATGTGTTACCTGAATCTCAATATATGATTCATTTTTTCTAGTTTTGATAACCTTCTCTTCTTTAAAATTTGAACATGAAAATTATGTCCATGCATTCCTTTTAATTTTCATTTATCATCTTATTTTTTGTGGATATCTAAAAACTATTTCAAAAGGGACTGAATCTAGCTACACTCGATTGAGGGGTAGTATGCATCCTGTTTAAGTGTTACTGTAGAAGAAAAAGTAATTTGTTGGAAGCTGAGAGAAGATGATATGGGAAGCAATTAGGAAAACGTGTTATGCATACTTACCACTATGAAGGGAAAGAGCATTCCAATTGTGAAGAAACTAATCCAACTAATAGTCCCTCCTATCATGTAAGCAGCAGGACGTGAAGACTGTATAAATAACTCAGCTGTCAGGGTATTTGTTATGCCACCTATGGGAACAAGTTTCAGAAATGGAGTAGGTTATGATGCTAAACGCCCATTTGCAGTATTTCCAGTGCCAGAAAAATAGTCAAAAACTACTCTTGGCTATGCTACTAGCTGATCTGAAAAAAAAAAAAAAAGAAAAAAACCATTAACAGCCCATTTTTGAACCTACTGCCCATACAGTAGGTGTCCTAGGAAGCAGCACTGTTCCAGCAGCACTGCTTGGGCAGCAGCAGCCCCTGTCACAGCATCGCAGGCTGCGTCTCGCTGCTCGGCTGAAGGCCAGACCCGAAACGCGCTCGCGCCCCGCTGAGGGTGAGCCCCAGCTTCAGGCAATGGGAGACAAACCTGTGCTGCTGGGACAGGCTGCACCTGCACTCTCGAGCCAGAGCGTCAGCAGCCTGACAGTAAATACTGCCCAGATCACACAGTAAGCTGCCAGCACTGCCCAGCCCCAGACACACACCACCCCTGTAAAACATGGCTGTGCAATACCTGGTCCCAGCCCAAAGCTCAGGATGAAGGCAAATATAGAAGCCATGCTCACATAAGGCACCCATGAGTACAGTTCCTGGAAGAGAAGAGGATGAGAAGGTTTAGTTCAGATTCAGACAATCCAGTACTAAAGTTTGCCTAAACTGTTAAATTTCCTTTTGCTATTTTATTGCAAGACCAACAGTCATTTGTGACCATTTAGAGCAAATTTATTTAACAGTACTGCTTCAGAGGAATTAAAAATTGTTTAATTATTTTTACTAAATGGAGTCTAGTACTTCTGTCAAGATTTGTAATTAGTCCTCTGAGGTTAAAAGTTTACACCAATACTGCAGATAAGAATTATGTGTTGTTACTAGCTTAACGTTTTGTCAGTGTTAGTTTGGGCACTTCACACTGATCCCGTCAGTCAGCTGTCATTAAGCACCACCAAAGCATCAACAGACTTCTCATCGCATGATGTATACAGAAATTCCAACAGTGCAGTAAAAGAACATTAAGATTACTGTACAGGTATGACACAAAGTGCATTAGAAAGACCAGACCTAAGCTTGTAATGCCCTTATTCAAAAGCAAACCAAGATATTTACAAAAGTTACAAATAATAAACAAATAAATACAGATTTAGGCCTCCACGTGACATCTGGCTCATTCCACTTTCCACTCGAGGTCGCAGCTTACTTTACTCCAGCCACACAGAAACTACTGCCAGTGCCTCTCGCGTGGCCCTGCCGGTCTGTGTGGCCCCTGACCCTGCTGTGTCTCTCTCAGGCACGTGAGCCACCCATCTGCAGCCAGCTCTGAACACTGACGGTGTGTATAGGGCTAGAGTTGCATCTCTTCAACCCCATCTTTGTCAGGTAAGGATTTATCACGCAGCCAGATGCTGAATAAATCTAGTTGCTCACTGTTGGAGCTACACCTGCATCATCTTGCTTGGATTGCCCAAAGGCAATGATAAATATTTAGTATAGTATGGTCTGCAGATGTAGAGATAGATTTCCTCCAAAAATTAATTTCAGGTTTGTGGGGCTGCCTTATCTGAGCTGATACAGTATACACAACAATTAATGGTGCCTCTCTACTACAGCAAAACTCCAGATGATTCTGGATCAGAATGTTGTCCTTCCCTTGTAAATGGAAGGTACTGTGAACGTATCTAGTGAGTTCCCAATAGTTTTTGTGAATTTCCATGTAATGGAATTAGGTGTCGGTTACTTTAAAAGCTAGAATAAATGCTGTTTTGTCATCACTTAGTTTGGTCAGCATTAAATGCAGCTGCAGCTTTAAGACAAATACATGATCAGATGTTAGCTGAGAGCATTTTCTTATTTTAGGGAAATATGGATGTAGAATCGATCAAATCTTTCAACCACTGTAATTTTTTAGCTGTTGTTTAATCCTATCCAGCTCTTATCTTCCAGTTTCCTTTGAGTGTCACAGATTTTCATGCATGATAGTTGTACCATGTAATATAAATGAGTCCTCCCCTATACCTGGTAAGTCAGAGAGAATGTTAAAACAATGCTCCAAAGGGTCATAAGGAGATAACCCCCAATGATGAGATATCTTCTTCCCACGTAGTCTATCAGTAAACCCTGTGGACAAGACATAATTTTCTGTTACTATATTGATGTCATATTCTAATGTTGTTCTTCGAGAAGAATCATTACTCTTTATTCTATGAGACAGAATAAATAGTTACTCACACAGGTGAGGGCTGTGAGGCATTCACAAGCTCCAGTGCCGAGTGTCACATATGGGATTTTTTCTGCTGAGATCCCAGCTTGTTCAAAAATGTAAGTTGCATAGAAATAAATCTACAACAGGAAAAAAAAAAAAAAAGAAAAGTGGGCATTCTTGGAAGTTAAATCATTATCTGGGAAGAAAGCCAAGTTCATACTAAACACACAGCTCAATGTATTTTACATTGTGAGTTACCAGTTTGACAATAATCTATTAAATTCATGTCTAGGTAAATATATTGCTATCATAAATGCAAACACAATTAAACTTACTGAATATAATACTTCACATTCTTAAA